GAATTTCTACTTGTTCGATATCTACTGAAATGAGTAGTGCGGAGAAATCGAATAGGTAAATATGAATATTGAGATAACTGTTGATGAAATCTAGTGATTATTCGTTTGTTTAGATTGTAAATTGCAAAGCTTCACTGATTCGAAGAGCAAATTCTTCTACTAACGAGCGACTCATATCACCTAAGAAACCAATGACAAGATCGACGGAAATAATAATCCAATAAAGATTTTTGCATCTGACCCATTATGAACTCCAGATGAAGTCATGAATTGCGAAATTGTTTGCTTTGTAATTTCCATATGCTTTCGTTTTTATTCAAATGAAAAGATTTTACAATGAGATTATTTAAGTGTTACCATAAACGAGTTTTTCATTTCAAACAACACGTGAGCAAAGCCAGAATGATTAATGTAATCGAGAAGGCGAAGAGAATAATACCAGAAACAAGTCGACCATTGTCACTATCGTTGAGCGTCGCAGCACCAGTCAGTGTCAAAACTATAGCAGGAATAAGACAAACAAAGCCGAGAATCGCACCAATGACGGAAAAACGAGCAGACCAACTAACATCACTACTACGTAAATGATTATTTTTCTTCGGTTCTGGTTGAAATTCCACTACGAAAGATTCTGCGCGTTCTAAAATCAGTATGACAAAAGAAAAATATTCAAATACTTTATCTAATTGAGAATCATGTAGTTTACCTTTCATTTTAGTTTCACTTTACAAATTAATAAGACTAGAAACAAAAAAAAATGATTTTATCGGTGATATTTTCACATTGAACAGTTACTTCGATTCTTTTGTGTACAAGAGTATATTCCTATTGCGAACGACGATATGTTATTTCTATACGAGAGTAATAATGATACATTTTCTTTCTTCCTGTGGAGAAGAAAAAGAACTGTTGTTCGGTCAACGTTCAAATAGAATAAAAAAAGAAATTCTCTAATGAATGAATATGAAATATGTTGTGATGTAACACTTCGAAAATGTCTATGAAATGTTTGACATTTTCTTTTCGTTCTTTCACTTATACATTATTTACATGGTGGGTTTTATAATGCATAAGAGAGCATAAAAAATGTATGAATTACATCATTTGAATCTGAATATAATGTGTGACATGAACGTTGAACTTCGTCGCAAAACATCAAAGTTTTTTTAAATGAAATGATCTCATAAATCACTTATCAGAGTATGGGGTATGAATTGAGCTTTTAGCATTAACCGAGTTGGTTTTTAACTTTTTTTTGTTTCGGCTATTGTCTTCATTTTAGTGAAGGATTCGTATTTCTTTCATAAAGATCAAAATGTAACAGATCATCGTAAACTAGGACGATTGTCGAAACACGCGCTAAATAAATAATAACATTTGATCAATCATTAAACGAATTTACGTGTTATTTAAATAAGTAATAAAATAAGTGGTAATCACATGAATTGGAGTAAAATAGAAAGATTACTCCAACCGATCGAACACGTGTCAATGAGAACAAATCAATCGATTGATTATCACAACTATGTGAATCAAACTAAGGTATCACTGTGATGAGTAAATTGATCATATTCGTTCAATATGAAACTCCTGAAAATTTTGCAATAGTTCAGGAATGGTTGTCACTAAAACAAAAGTATTTAGTTTGTCATTCTCTCTTTTATTTGATAGGAATGAGAACTAGAAATGTATGAAGTTCAGTGTATTCTGTAGGACGTTGTGCCGAAAACAACTGTAAATCAATCAGAATGGTCGTTAATCCGATCAGTTGTATTCTCGTAAATCCCGCATATTCCATATCTTTGAAACATTCTCTTATACAAATACTTAGATTTCCTTTACAAACTTGTCAAATGGAGTTCTCAACGAAAAACGTTTTCTTCGTACTATCGATATAATTAATCGGCACTCAAATTATTAATAAATTAGGCGTTTGTACTAGCGTGTTAGAACTGTTGATCGGTGTGCTACGTCTTCTTTGTTGGATAGCTTCTTATAAAAGAAGTTTGCATATTCTTTTCTTTATAAATGTCTGTGGCTGGATGTCGGTGGTTGTTGTTCAATTTGTGAATCCATCGTTAGATATAATGAGTTTTTATTTAATTACACTAATGATCATCAGTGTCAGTCTTGGTGTAAAAGTTCATCCAGAGGATAATTGTGAAATAGATATAAACGGTGACGAAAGCTCGACCATAGATCGGTACTAAAAAAAATCAAATTGTAAGCACCTCTTATATTTACTGTTTGCATTATCACCACGTGTGTGTTGACGGGGGATTAAATCCCCACCCACTAGAGCCTTATGGAGTAGAAGTTTTTCTTTTCGAAACCCGATATTTATGCAGAATTTTGTTTTTCTCCATTTCCTTATTTTATTATTTGAAATATAGAAGAATATATTTAATATTGTGCAACTGTTCGAAAAATTTCACTACTCCTCTACGGATATAACTCCGACTCCGACGTAGTCGGGGTTAGGCGAATGCATTGACTTTTTCAATGAATCTATCGATGTTCAGACCAAGCCCAAGCCGAAACTGAATCTGACTTCTTGTCTTACTCTCACATTCAGCTATATTCCCAGACTCATTGGTGCTCTCACGCATGATACTTTCTTTTTTTAATTTTAGTTTTAGGATAAAAATAATACCAGTTACAGCTTCTGTTTTACTTCGTCGAGAATGTTTTCCCATTTTTTTGTAGGTTTGGATCATTTGTAGATGAGAAATTACATATAGTTTCGCCGATTCTACCACTAATACTGAAAAGCGTAGCCCAATCGAGATGATCTAAAGGAAGCGATTTTTGACAAATCAGAGCAGCTTTTGTAATATAATATTCAAGTGCTTCTATATAACTAGCTATCTTTCGATATACTTTACCGATGCCAATGTATGTTCTAGTCAAATTGGGATGATCAAGATGAAGAGTCGTTTCTTGAATCGCAAATGTTTTTCTATAATAATTGTACTTGACTGACGGGTTGGTCCAGTATTCGTCGAATTGTCGTCATCTGTTAACGTTGCATTTCTAAAGTATACTATACGATGATTGCAGATGTAAAGTGTAGAAGCATTGAATAATGATGCAGTGATTTTGAAACAATTGTTAAATTTTGTCCTATACATATTTATAAGGCGAAAGTTGGAAAAACGCATCTGCATCACGAGAAAAACAGTAAATTCTTGCAAAAATGGAGATTATTAAAGACAGATAGGAGTGAATTTGTTTTAGTCTTCCTTAACTCGTACTCACATATCTATGTCCGAATATAAAATCAAAGTATGTGTAACTCAACTTTCATCTTTGTCAACAATTAATGTTCGAACTCGATTTAGACATTTGCCGTCAATACAATGAATCGGACAGATATGTAAATCCTACTTACGAACATAATAACATCAGTGTTAAGTCTTTGTTTATACAGGATGAAACGTGTTATTTCAGAGCACATCGGATACCAACACAAATAACGTTCAAAGGGAAATCATACGAAATAGAATAATAATTGGTCTTCGTACACATCATTCGATTACAACTAGTAGAATACTTTCCTTTCAACATTATAGATAAAACTGTCATCAATACAAAGGATATTTACATAAATGGGAATTTTTTCCAAGTGGAAAATGCCACGATGGGAAATTCTCATGCTATATAAAGTGATGACAGATATCGATATCATTCATGTATATCTACTTCGCACATATTCATTATACCAAGATTATTTTAACACTGTTAATTGACGACATTTAAGCTATTCAGGTATGTATTTACGATTTGACCTGATAACTTCAATTGATTAAAACATGCGAGTTTGAATATAAATTGTATAATCTCTTCTATTTCCATGCATTCGTTGTAGTATTGATTTTATCCTTGAAGGATTTTCTTTAAAATCTCTTTGAACAAATATACGAACACATGCGACAATATCTTTGTTTATTGACATTATTCGGTAAGTGCATCGAAGTACAGCAATAAAGTTAAATTGTGATTTTAATTATAGGTTTATTGGTTTTCATCATCGGAAGTCCATTGAATAAGAAAACACCAACCGATTACTACGCGAAACTTCATAAGTTGCTCGCAACATCGGATCGATGTGATTCAACTAGTTAATGTGCATTCGAAGGTACTATGGACATGATCCTTGTGGTGGTTCATCTGGTCAAGATGTTTATTCAACTGTTGATGCTAAAATGGTTCGCTAAGCAAATAAGACTTATCGAAGAAAAGCGCAATGAAGAAGATCGAAAAAATGGTGTTATGCAAATATGTAGTGCAAAGACGGCAATGGTACCCATATGATCCTTGGGGATAATCGAATTTTGACAACAATTGATGAAAGATTCTCACATATTTTACACTCGCGAACCTGCACCTTCGAAAACATCATTTTTTTAGTTTAGACCCTCGGATATATGAAAATATCTGATAGTGTTATTTTTAATAAATTTTACCTTTAAAATTCCCTTGAAAAAAATTCAAAAAGAGATCAAACTTGATCATTTCACTCATTCATCTTCGTTCTCTATGAAATTTCCAACTTCGACATTACCTTTTTTTCTCCATTCCGTATCTTTTTCGTCTCTTATCAAGTCTATATGAATATTTTAATTACTTTTTAGAACAGTATATCGCATCGAGTTCGAAAACATTCTAATAAGTACAACTATTGACATGAGTTCTCCTAATTCAGACTGGCCATCGACTCAATCTACATCCAACAGCAATGAGACACAATTGATTTTCTTTTTCAAATTTTCTCTTTATTGTCATAGAACATAAAACTCGTAGAGGTCACGTTTACTATATCGATCATAATTATCCCATCACTGGGAAGTCTGCGAATTTCTATTGCTTATTTGCACACGATTACTAATGATTGATTTTCAGGAAAGCAAATCAGTTTCATGCATTACAGCCGAATGATGACCTTGGCCCGTTATCGTCTGATTGGGAAACGACAAAAGAAACGAAAGACGACGTAGTATTTTTTATTGATCACGAAAATAAGACAACTACTTTTGTAGGCTATTCGAGTGATTTTACTACAATTACCATGCTATCATATACTATGTATGCATAGATTGACCCGTGCCTCGGTGAAAGGGCACCACAGTCATCTTCTCATCCAGATATAATGCAAAATGGTCCGTTACCAGTAAGAAAAGAAGTCTACATTTTAGTAGAGCGTGGACGAACAGAACTCTGTACTATTTCTATAATCATTAGGAATAACGCACATACCGGATGGCAGATATTACTACGTTGATCATGGTAAAAGAAAAACAATCATGTTTCAATTCAATACATCGAATAGGAAAAATTTCTGCTTTATGATTTCAGCAAACAAAAGAACAATATACGATAAGAAAGTTCATTTGATGACGGTATACCAGCCAGCTCTTGACTGCAAACTCTCGAAGTTCTATGCTAAAACTATGTGATCACAAGATCAATCAAATTCATCTACCCACCCTCAAGATCAGAAGACATGTTTCTATCATTTTTCCTATATATGAAAAAATGCTGTACATGTACCTAAAAAATGCTAAAAAACTCGGATTTTTTTGCAGAAAGGACCCTTTTTGCACCAAAAGTGTTTTCCAACCGAGATCGGATGTTAAAGACGAAAGCAAAATCGAAAAAAAAAACTTTCCAAAACCTGGATGGGTCTCCATGGATTCACGCATTAATATTCAATATTTAAATATGATAATTGGTCATGAACTTTTTTCAAAACAAAAAGAAAACTTTAAAAGAGGAAAAACTTAATAATTTAGTTGGAATTCTTTGAGATATTTTGAAGAGAAAATTAGGATGCTCAAATAATTATGAATCAAATTGATATACTAGATGCATTTCTATCTCTTATTCCATTTGGCCTATACAAAGTTAATGAATAGAGATCTATCGATAAATAGTAACTGATGAAAATGCACAATCTTTATACAAACATTATTGAAAAGTAAAAGGTTAGAAATATGAATTGATTTATTTTTTCAAATTTAATATTAACAATATTTAAACAACTCGAAATATAATAAAATAATTGACAATAATCATTACCACCATAAATACAAGTTGTTACCACTCTGTTTTATTCTTGAATTAGAAGATATCGCTTTGGTGTTGATTAGATCTTTCAGATAATTTACATGAGCTTCACTTACGGATGTAAAACATAAAACGCGCAAATGAAGTGTATACCGGTTATTGTCAATCAATAAAAACCGTAAGATTGATTCCATATCGGTTTTTACCGTACCGATCTGAAGGCGTTGCAAACGAGGAAATAGCATAATCAATAATTCAAGCTCGTCTTTTGTACATTCGGAAGCGTATTTAATATTAGTGACACGATTTATCTTTGATATCGATTGAAATATTTCATTTTGTTTGATAGTTTTCTTATTTTCTTTGAGAAGAAGCATTGTTTGAAACGTCAATGTATGAACATTTGGTGTATAAGATAAAAATTCAATAATTTTCAAAAAAGATAGATGACTATATTCAATTACCAATATTTGGAGTTGTTGTAAAGGTAAAATACGATTAAGACTAATGTGAGTTGGTTGATGAGTAAATACTGGTGAATCATCTTCTATTGTAAGTTTATTAACATTTGGAAAATAATCGTTAGATTCTTCCAAGACTGCTGTGTTTGTAATCTGAAGATGATGAACTGATTTGAAAACTTTTTCATATTTATCTACACACAGAACACTAGTCGAGCGATTACTAATGATGCATTCTTTTCTTCTAGAAAAAAAAGTATTTTGTGAGCTAGCTTTATTTGATAGAAACGAAATATTTGATATAAATACCTATATGGATCTGATGAAAATAATATTATTGGTTGAAAATATTTTGTGTGTGTTAAACGACAATCGAATAACCATTGTCGATCAATCCAAAACGATGATCGAAATAAGTTCATTCGCTGTTCAATCTCGAGTTTTTGAACAGTTATATATGGAATTATCTTGAATACAGCATCAAAAATAGGCAAATTTGGTAAATATGTTGATATCAAATGTTGCCATTTATGCGCATCGAAATGTTTCCAACCGGCCGAAATGTGTAAAACTTGAATAAAAGGAAAAGAACGAGACAGCAGATTCTCCAGAGTATTAAAATTGATAGAAGTTTCTAAAATAATAGATACATGTGTTAAATAATTTAATGCAGATGAAAATGATCGATTTTCAATTGTTCCTTGTTCACGTAATAAATGTAATGATAAATGACGAAGATGAGGAACATACGAAAAGAATGTTGGTAACTGCTCAATATATATTTCATGGTCAATAATTAAATATTCGATTGGACTATATTCATCAGTCACCATTGGTAATTCTTTAGTAGAATATCCACCTCCTAATGATAATTTACAATATTTCAATGATTCTAAACGAAATATTTGTTGATAGATAGGATTTTTATTCTCAATAGCATCAAGTGTGGTGATACTGAGTGATGAAAGATGCAACATCATATTTAATTGGTCAAGAAGATTTTTGAGACATGTTGATTCAATATTTTCAATAATCAATGTTCGAAGAAATATTTTGTTTGATAATCCAAGTGTATATTCATCAAATATAATATGATTTTCAATTCGTAGAGTTTCAATTCGATGATTATTTGGTATAATTATATCTTGATTGTAACGATTGAATGTTGTTTGCGACATGAGAAAAAGATTGATTTTCAGTGGAAGAGTTGATTTCGTTAGTAGGGAACGAAATCGAGTGTTAAGATTGTAAAAACTTTGATAAATATGATAATAATCAAGATATTCAAATATTTCATAAATAGTTTCATTTGCAAGATTTTCCAAGATTGAAATTATTTCATTTGATTTACTAAAATATTTTCATTATTGATTATATAATAAAAAAAGCGATATAGTTTTCTTCTGTTTACCTTTTTCTTCTTTTTCTTTCATCATATTTATTAAAGCAATCAAGTTGTCGACGTTTGATTTGTTGCATTGCAAAATCTGAAATAAACATTAAAATATACAAAAATAATTTGTACTACTAGTTGTATCTTTCGCATATATATTGACGTGTGAGGAAGAATGTAAAACAAATGATTACGTATTTCATTCTTTCATAATGAATCATCTGTATGAATACAAATAGAGATGTAACAATATCAATATAGACAAATATCAATAGTATCGATATTGGTGATTATTGGTCTTTTTGAATGAAAAACTTTAAATAAAATCAATACCAACACCAATATTTCAATACCGTATTGATACTGTTACATCTCTGCCAACAAAGGTACACATTCGTACAGTTCTATTTCTCGGTGATATACTACTTACTTCTCCTTTGACACTGTACATCGGATAAATGAAGTTGTTATCTCAATTATCATTAAACTTACAGTATAGATGTATATCGATGAAGCTTTAATTAAAGGTTACTGTGATAATTTTTGATGGGAAAAGTATATATGTTGATCGTGATACATCCAGATTTATCTCTTCCTCTCAAGAATCGTATCCCTCTGATACAAAACATTCATTTATATACTTATTCATCAATCGAAGGAGAAAAAGATAATACCAAAGTACATCAAAATATTCAGACGTAAGAACAAATAGCATGCGCAGAGCGCATGCAAGCGAGAGCGTCACACTTGCCGGTCAATAATTGGACTCGCTCCCGCGCGTTGGTAATATCGAAGGAGAAAGAGGAAAGAAATTAGAAGAAAAATGACTGCAGAGAGATAAAGGGCATAGGTACAGAACGATATTAAGAAGTATATAGTATATTAAAGGAGCAGAATATAAAAGTACAGATGTATGAACAACTGCCAAAATGGAAATGAAGCTTTGAAGTTTTGAAGACAAAACACTAAACCAGAGACGAGGGCACTTCTACCCATGTAGCCGTTTTTCTACAATAATGTAAATTATAATGCATTATTGCATCATAGGAAAACAAGTAACGCTCATCCGTTGGATTCGCTGACCCTTTTCTGAGAGACTTTTCCGAATGCTGAACACATTCAGAGACTTCGATAGAGAAAAAACGCACTGTGAGTGCTACTAGAGCTCAACTGAATCATGGTACTATGTCACACACTAGAACTAGAATGAATAGGATACAGAGGTCTGTCTAGGAATCAGACCGATTAGCCATTTGTCAGTGGATAATTCTCCAGCACTAACTATGTTGACTGAAAAATTCATCGCTCAACGGCTAGTCAGACGGCCAACCATTAACCTTTGTCATCTGGTTTTTCTATTTTCACATCACGCAAATGTTTGAACATTCGTCTGTGTCTTCCAGCGATAATCCGATTCTTTTCTGTCCTGTCAACGAAATGATACCTTGTCGAATATTTTCATTGAGGAATATTCATTCGCCAAATCCCTTTCAAAGTTATCAGAAGCTTGGCACGTTTATTCTAAGCGTACACTTTAGGATTAATCTAGCATTTAAATGCCTAGTCGTTCGTCGTCCTCCCTTCGGTCAGCCACTCACGGCTAGCCGTTGACGCACATGGCCAGTTTTCATAGTATTTTCATATGGAGAAGTAGCTCGTTGATACTGAGTGTGACGAATTATGAGAGTGATTGTCTATGTCTTGCGACATGATGGTGTATTGTGTCATCTACACACTCATAATCGTGTCGTTCCTTTATCTAACACAGCTTATATACGAAACATCGTGCATAACATAACAAAGAAAAGGCAAGGTCAATATCTATAAGCAGGTCGCATAGGTGAATTATAGCTATACGCTGACCGTTACACTGAGTCGATCTGTGATCGAAGCTATCAAAACCCTCCGTAACTTTGTAGCTTACAGTACATGTTCTGCTGCTCTGTTCAATTTGAAGCGCTGATAATGTGCAATCCTTATTCTCGAAGCTCGAAGGCACATAAATTATGTTCGTTCAAAACCATTGGCTTTAGTTGAGACAGTGATAAATCTCGTCTTTCATAGTGCTGCATGTGTTCGGAATACTGTTTGTATAGTCCAGCGTCTGAAGTTACAAAGATGGAATTGCACCGACGGGTATATCACTTTGTGAACTACTTCTGCTAAATTCCCATAAAAAGACATGATGTATGTAGCCTACAAGGCAAAGATGATACTAAGGTCATATCACATTTTCGGATTTCTTGAATTAGAAACATCATTATGTACAATGCATTAGATCTTTTCGTGTAAGCTCTTGAGCTACTTCTTTGTACGCATGACGCCCGTGAATAGCGTTCAGCTCACTATCTTCTACAAAAGATTTCAGAACAGATTAAGAAAAAATATGATCCTTGTAAACAGAAAGAAACAAGCCCAGGGTCAGCGAATAAGACGAAATTCACACTCAACTGCGAATTTCCCGACGTCAGAAACCCTTCGGTGAACCCTTATATAAAGAACTTTTTCTCAAAAGAAGTGAGGCTTTTGTCCCAAAAACAAACCAAAAAGTTTTTTCGAGAAACTAACCACGGATTCGTGAACCTAGACCCCGAAAACCTTTTGTCAATCATTTTCTAATGGCGATGGTTAATTTTTCATTGATTTATAAAATGCTGCAATTTGATTGGAATACGCAAACAAACAACACTATAAAAAAAAGAAGTTTCCCTCCGATACACGGGACGATCCTTTTTTGGTGAAGTAAAATGAAGGTTCCGAAAAGAGCCTTACAGGAAAAACTGAGAACGAAGGTTCCGCAGCAAAGGTTTAGTACGAAGCCACCTGTAACTATATTAAAAAACGTTTCGTAAAAATCCATAGCTGCGAAACCTTCGTTGCATTAGTTGTTCTCTTGGGTTAGTCACAGACTCCTTTATAGTTATCCCGGACGGCCTA